TATGATAAGCTATAGATTTATCCAAATAATAGTTGAGCTCTTTCTTAAAGAATTGAGCAATCATAAGAATAGTGCTTTAGAAGAATATTTGCATTTATCTTCTCAAAAACATCATTATAATCTTGATATTGGATTTGAATGCCATTACAAGTCTTTCTACCATAAAAAATAAGTATGGCATAAATATCAAAAGATGATATTTTTTTATAGCATGCATGAATGCTCTTGCATCTATAAATAAGGATTTGGTTGTATTAAACTTATAACTTTATATTTGGAAAATAAAAATCTAGATTATGCTATGAGAAATATTAAGATTATAAGAAATCCACTCTCATCAAAGATTATATTTTTTTAGCCATAATATACTTAAAAAAATTAAATTCAATGAAGATTTAATAACATTAAATATTATTAATTTATTATGATCATTAGTTTCTACATTTAAGAAATTAATTTCATACATAATTTTTTTAAAAGATAACAAACATCTATTTGTGACTTCTACATATACCACTTAATTTTCCTCATTAAAGGTGTTTTTACTTTTAAACTAAATCTTAGTCTATTAAACAAGTTGTGATTTGTGAATCTAATAAGATAGAGGCTTTGTAATTGTTTAGTCATAAAGAGACATCTATTATAAAGCTAAGTTAGAAATTTGAAGAGAAAATATGATCTTTATAAGATCTTAGCCACATGGTACATATTATATTTGAACAAACTTATTTCCAATATATTCTCTTTGTTAGCAACTACACTCCTCAATTTTATTTATGTTACTTCTTTGGACAATATTGAAGAGTATACTTAGGTTCTCTACAATATAAGCTCAATCTTTTTTAATAGTATCAAATCTTTTTTTACTAAGTGAAAAGTTTGAAATTTATCTTCATGAATAAGTTTTTGAAAATTTAGGAATTTTCATCATTACTTCACTTGTTTCTCTCTATTAAAATCTTTATATTTGATATCTTTCAAAAATTTCATTGTTGTATATAATGGCTTGAGCAATAAATTATTTCAATAAGTCTACTTATAATATTATCAATAATAAATCTTTGATTTTATTTTTTAATCTATATTAAATTTTATTGATAATAACTTTATCATTCTAATCTATTGTAAAGGAAAAAAATATTTATTCTAATAATTACTAAGATAATATGAATAAATATAAATTAATATAAATTAATTAATTTGATAATATCGTATAGAGAAGCTTCCTAAAAACATTATATATGTGGTTTCACCTTTATACATATCTATAGGTCAATAATAGGTTGAATATTTGATCAATAAATTAGCCATATATTGCATATATTAATTATATGGCAAATAAATAAGAAACTTGCTTTGGAAGTTAAAACATGTGTCTTGCAAATTGGACATGTATTGACAGTCCTAAAGAACATTGCTACATAGCATTTAGTTAGATAGTATATATAGAGGTAAGAATAAAGCCTTCTTTATTCTTGTCTTTTTTTTTCTTTTCTTTTTTTTCTTTTTTTTTCTTTTAGTTTAGTTTCAAAGGTTTCTAGTTTTCTTGAGAATAGTCATTATAGTTTTTTTTTTTTTTGAATATATGTATTTATTTATTTCTTTTTTATCATCTTTCTTTAAAAGAAGTCTCACTTGTTTATTTGCATTCATTGAGTTTTTGTCTTTGATACTCAATACCATATATAGTCACTAAATAAGATCTTTCTTATAAAGATAGGAGTTTAGTCTTTGCTATTCTTTCTTGATCACTTTTTCCAAATGTAATTGTAAATATTTCTAAGAATAAATTTAGATTATATAGATGTTGTGAAATCTTTTCTATTAAAGGTGCAAACCAAAAAAGATCACTTTCAAATAGAAGTGTACTTATGATTTCAACTTGAATAAATCCATGAAGATATTTGGAAAGATGCAACCATAGATAAAACTTCTTGTTGTAGAAACCCTTCAAATTTTGATCTTTGTCTATCAAACTTCTTGAGCATATTAATTCTTATTTCTCTTATATTTGTAGTAGTAAGACTTTTTGAATTCAATTATGAAGTTGATCTACTTATTTCTCTCAATTATATAAATTTATAGCATAGTTATTTAATTTCATTATTATTATTTTGATAAGTATAAGAATATATTTTTATAATTGATGTTAATAATTTGTGGAATTTCTATCCTAAGGGTGTTGATAAGCTTGTAAAGTTCTACAATAGTTGTAAATCTATTTTGACTTCTACCAAGTCTAGCATCCATAATATTTTCTTCTATCTCTATAATAAATGATTTTAATAAATCCATAAGTAAAATTAGAGGAGATTAATCTATAACCTTAAATATCAAATAAAAAATTCTTTTAAAAAAGGTAGTCAATTTTTTTTAAGAAAAAAATCAATTTCAAAATATATATATATATATATATATATATATATATATATATATATATTTGAAAGTAGTTGGTCCTGCAACCTTTAAAACATAACAAAAGAAGTAAATAATTCATTTACATCTAAAAAAATATATAAATATGAAATTAATACTCTTGTTAAACTGTCAAAGACATGAATCACAAAAAATCAAATAGTCAATATATTCTTGTATCACTTGAAAAGAGTAGATAATTAATCAAAAATGGTATAATTTTAAGATTAGAATAGCTATTGCCAAAAATAAGAAGACTAGAAATCCTTGAAACAAGACTAAAGGCAAAAAAAGCATTGACCAAAGTAAGGAAGGCTTCACTCTTATCTCTATATATACTTTCTAGATACAAGCCATGTGATAACATCTTTTAAGACCTTAAATATGTGTCCAACTTGCAAAATATATGTCTAACTTGTAAGAGAAGTTTCTTACATGTGTACAATAAGACCAACTTATATTATATGTTACCAACATGTGTAATATGTGGCCAATTTGTTGGCCAAGTTTTCAACTGACCAATTGCCAAGAAACATGTATAGAATCAAATCCGCATTTTTAAATCTTCTATAGAAGATATTATTATTTTTTATTTTCATTTACTTCTATTTAATTCTTTTACTTTAGATGAATACATATGTATATATATATATATATATATATATATATATATATATAAAAAATTCTTAATTAAAAGATATAGTTGTTAGAATAAAATTAAAACCTTATATTATCTTTTACAAATATTGAAAGAATGTTTTTGATTTTTGATTGTAGTAACTTGAATAGTTTTTTATTTAAAATATTCCAAGATGACTGATTATTTAGAGTTGTTTGGATGTAAGTAGAGTAAATGATATAAAATCAATAAATAGCTAAAATTATAATTATTATCATCTGATAGATTTTTTAATTAATATGCAAAATAATCTCTATAGAAAGTATATTAGATTGACAATCAAAGTTCAAATTTATTTTAAAAAGAGATTATTTTGTAGAATTCTATTCTAATCAAGCAATATTAAGAATTTATTGTTGTTGATTGTATCTTTATTAATAGTCTTATCTACTATTTATTTAAAACCATTTTAAATAGTAATTAAAATTCTTAATGATATAGATAAGAAGTTAGAATAAAAATAATAAATAGAAAAGAAAAACCAAAAGAATTAGTGTTAATAATTCATATTATAGTTATTTCTCTTTTTATTGTCTTTCTATAATACACTTTAGATATATTAATCTTAGCATAGTTAATAGAAGTGCATCATGGTAGCTAGATAAGACTTCAATTGCAATAATAGCATCTACACCAAGATTGTGCAAACTTCAAGTCTTTTGTATATCATCTAGAACTATCACTTGGAGCTTAAGTAAGTATGTCTTTCCAATCAAAGCAGTGGATAATAATGACGATAAATATAAAAGGTGATTGGAATTTAAGTGTCCTTACTTTAAAGTGATGTTAAACTCTTCAAAGACTTTATTATTAACATTTTTCAATAAGGTATTGTCTATGGGAAGGTACAAATTTAGAGCATGCAATAGAATTTATTAGATTATTTGACAAAGATTTGATAATGCCTTTGTAGTCATTATTTATCCAAATGATTAGTTTTTGAAATAGTTCATACATCTTTTTATTACCATTATTATTATTATTATTATTATGTTATTATCAAAAATAAAAATGTTGAAATCTAATTTGTACAAAAGTGTGTTCTCTTAACAACAAAATTAAAAAGCCTCATGTCAAGACTTTGCATCTAGGTTTTCATAACAACCAATTCATATTGAAAAAGTTGTATAAAGAATTATCAACAATTAGCATACAAAATAAAGCAATGGCATCAATGTGTTTGCTAGCATCAAATATGAGTTTTTTGCTTAACCATTGTTTGAATCACAACTACATCATGATGTACACATCAACTTTGTTTGAATACTGTTGGTAGCAAGTGCAATAACCATAAATTGGAAAGAAGTCAATATCTAAATATATATATACACACACACATAAAGAAACAAAAAAATTAATATAAATAAAAATAAAAATAAAAAATAAATAACAACAATAGAACAAAATCAACATTACTCTTACAAAGTTGCTCACAAGAGGCACAATTGCAAAATATGTAGAGGCTTACTTGCACAAATACATCACCTCTGCACATATATCAATAAAGTTTATGTGCTACAAACAAAATACAGCATGTCACATGCCTTCAACCCCGACTTTCTAAAACAGCTATTTTCAAATACAACACAACAGCAGAAGTCAATTGAAGTTTTTAGTCAATGCCCATCCACAAATTCTGCTACAATTTGGCGTAACTTCCTACTATCCTCTTAGATAAAGACAGCTCATTTGTCACCAGCATACAGATACTAAGACTTGGTCCAAGCTCTTATGATCAAAAATTGTTAAAATATTCCATCATTAATGTCAGTCCAGCAACACATCCACCGGAGCCTACTATATATATATATATATATATATTTATATTTGTGTGTATAAGTATATCACTATTCATTTATTCGCTCACTCAAGTAGCAGTTTACCGATTTACAAAGAGCACAAGGACTAGCTGGCAGACAGATGAATCATTCAAATATGAAATTACATATACCAGTAGCTTGCAATCTGGCCCAATTTTGGAAACATAACTACCTTGTATATAAGAGATAAACGTTGGCCATAATGATAACGCCAGAGGTCATCTCAAGAAATAAAAAGAAATGCATCTGAGGTTCATGACCAATACAACCAAATTGTCTCACTCTGCAATATCAATTGTCTCTTATAAAATTTAGTTCATATTAGTAATGAAAATCTTGCTTTATTCCAAAGCGAATGCAGATAAATCTACGAAGCCGAATCATCGGCAGCTCGCACTGGAGGCTCGATCACATCTTCATGGGGCTTCATGGCCGGGAACAACAAGACTTCCTGCGAGCAGTAACAGAAAAAAAAAAAAAAAAAAAAAAAATGATTTAGGTATAGTATTGACTGCGAAGGGGCTTTCAGCTTAAATCAATAGTAACAAATGGGGATGTTTAAACATAACGAAAAATCTGACCTTGATGTTCTGAGAGTCAGTCAGCATCATTGTGAATCTGTCGATACCCATGCCCCACCCAGCCGTTGGTGGTAGACCGTACTCTAGTGCGGTACAGAAGTTTTCATCAATGGCCATTGCTTCGTCATCTCCTTTCTCACGGTCCTATTAGGCGCAAGCAGATGATCAAAGAAGTGCTCCAAATTCGACACACATACCTATGTGAACAATCTATCAAAACTTCAAGGCAGCAACTATTCTGAAGTAATGAGTAAGATACCTTGACTTGATCAGCAAATCGTTCACGTTGAACCACTGGGTCATTCAACTCTGTGTAAGCATTGCACACCTGTAGCACGACGTCACATTTGTGTAAAAAATTTAAGACACGAAATAGCTGATGATATCTATTATATCAGAAAGCATCTGTGCAATCTCCTATGTCGGTGAATAAGCACCAATTGTTTACATACCTCATGCTTATTCACAAACAGTTCGAACCGTTCTGTTAAGCCTGGAACGGACCGATGCCACTTGGCAAGAGGACTCATGAGTTGGGGATGATGCATGATGAAAGTTGGGTTCACACACTGCTCCTCAATAAAGTGGCCTACAAGCTGCGTTTCACAAACAAAAATACGTTATTGCTAGTGTATGGTTCTACAACAACGAATAATGTTCCAATTAAAACTTCACGCATAGATAAGTAAACAAACAGCTTTGATCAAACCATAGAAAAAGTACATGTGTGCGTAACTCTCAAAAATAAAATGCTACAAGAATCAGGAACTGAGAGAGACAACTTCGAATCTGGTAACAAGACTCACCTTGTCAAGCAAACGAGTAGTAGTTTGAGGAGGAGGACATTTGACATCAAACTTTTCACAGGCTTCTATTAAATACTGGTTAACCTCAGGTGCCTCTAAAAGCTCCAAAGACTTTGGGAGTTTAATCTTTCCTTCTGAGAATTCCTCGAGGCCCTTAATCATGTCGATCCTCCTGCAAAGCAATCGGACAGAGACCATATTCAGAAACAGAACAGCAAGAAATTTAGATTAGAAGCATTACGCCATCACAAACACGATTACCGACACAAAACACTCAAGAGCTCTACGCAGTACCTGAAAGGAGGAGTAAAATCAATTTCAATTGCAGGCTGGTCCAATCCATTTGAATGATACTGAATTTTGTAGCTTCCAGTAATTTCTTTTACCATGCCTGAGAAGAGGTAAAAAACACCCATAAGAGCAGTTCAACAGATCTCGAAAATTAAGGTTGAAACAGCTCGAAACGCCTATGATGTGCAATGGAAACACAACTGTCGATCTAAAAACTAATTCTACCACCTGTAACAAAATACTCTGCGAATTTTTCTTCTACGCAGTAGGCAAGTATATACGAATGCAAAGAACCGATGTCCACTTAATGAAGGTAGAATGGAAGGGAAAATGATTACCAGAAAGCATTTCCTCTGTGACTTTCATCAAGTCATCATAATCAGCATAAGCCCAATAAAACTCGCAGGCAGTAAACTCGGGGTTGTGGGTGAGATCAATGCCCTCGTTCCTAAACTGCTTCCCAATCTCGTATACACGGTCCAAGCCTCCAACAATCAACTCTTTCAGGTAAAGTTCAGGAGCAATTCGCATAAACAGATCCATGTTCAGATCATTGTGATGTGTCTTGAATGGTTTAGCAGCAGCACCTCCGGCTATCATGTTCATCATTGGTGTTTCAACCTGCATTCAGAATTGGTAGTTCCAACCATAATAGTAAATGTTATGCAACTCAAAGCCAAAGACATTAATCGATGACTGGTGCCTGATTAGCACAAGAAGAATCACAAAAAGAATAAACTTGAGAACTCTGAGAAAGCATCACCTCAACAAAATCTCGCTCATCCAAAAATCGTCGGACGAATCGAATGACTTGTGACCTCGTCTTGAAAACATTCCGGATGTCCGAGTTGAGCATGAGATCTAGATACCTCTGTCTGTAACGAGTTTCCTGTAATCCAGATATACAACGCTCACCATGATCAACGAACTTTGAAGCCCTCTACCAAACAATCTTGGCAAGGCGCTCAAAACATCACCAGCAGGAGTCTAGACACACAGTGTAAGATATAACTCGTTGACGATCCAGAATTTTGCTAGAAAGGCGTAGGAAGTAGAAACAGATTGATACGCTCTAATGTAGAATCATGAAGCCGAGACAAACCTGGTCCTTCAACACATAACGATCCAAGTTTCTGGAAAGTCCGGGGTGCCAATGATCGGGAACCTTGCTATCCTCCTGAAAAAAGATACCTTCATGTTACAACCAGAGGCAAACTGTAACTCAACATCTACCTTAAATAGAGTGCTTCACAAGGAGTAGTGTACGTGGTCCCAAACAGACTTCGACCCGTTTGGCAAGATATTGGTGAAAGTAGAGAAAAGCAAGTCAATGTCTATGTGTGGTGCAAGCAGCCTAACGAGGCAGTAGTAAATTCACTCAGCTTCTTGTCGAGGTTCTTCTCTACCTGGTCTTTGCCTCCTTTGCCGTAAGTCTTGGGTAACATGTGCAGACAATAAGATAGCAACTCGATAGACCTTACGAAGATGCTCAACTCTCCTTTCTTGCTCTTCCCTGCCAAGCATCCCATCAAAAGGTTTCGAGTGTTTTCTCTAAAGATTTGATAAATAACTTGACCACGCATTTATGGAGTAAATTGCAATTTACCTGGGAAACCATTGATTCCAACGATATCCCCACGCTTGATACTGGCGTGCAATTTTCCAAAGTCTTCCTCAGACAAGCTGGAATAATTCAATTGCGCGATGACCTGAATCTTCATGCCATCGGCGTGCAAATCGTAGAACATCAACTTGCCACCACTGGCTCTCTTGCTCATCACCCTTCCTGCGCGTAATTCACCGGAGGTTTGATCAGTATCCGTTCCACGCATTCCACAAAAAAATTAATTAGATGCTAAAAAATAAAAAAAATAAAATGGCTCAACTGCGTCTAAGTGGGATTACGTTCTAGAAACTTCTAATTAGAGCCTTGAGAACCTACCCGCAACAGAAAAAGACTGATCTTCGAGGTGATCTCCATCCTGAAGAGACCCGAATTTCGCGATATAATCTGGAATCGTGATGTTAATTTGGAACTTGTGAGGATAAGGATTCTTTGACTTCTCCTTCAGCTCGCCCAATGCACGCAATCTATTGTTCCTGTATTGCTGTAACCCACACAATCCTCACTATTACAAACGAGAAAACCTTTCGGGAACCCAATGCACACCGACAATTCACAGAACTTCCCACTTCCCATTTCTCAAATCTAACCTCTACAATCACTCTCCACTCACCGTGGGATCCATATCCTCATCATCCTCTCCCTGCTGCGAAACCTTAGCAGCCTTTTTGGGTGCAGCAGCCGCAGCAGCCTTCTTCAGCTCATCCTTGGCTCGCTTCTCCTCGGCCGCCTTCTTCGCCTTCTCCAGCTTCTTCAACGCATTCTTGCTCAAGGGCTCCGTCACCCCCTCAGCCACCACTGGCGCGTCATCCCCACCTCCTTCCATGGTTCTTCGAGTATTCTACGATAGCTCGGTGGATAGGCAAAGTATATAAGAAACGCATGCAGGTGGGTCCGATCGGCGATAGCAGGCATTCCAAGAAGGAACAGAGCCTGGAAGAATCAGAGATGGAGTCTTGGGCAGGGGTTTAGCGTTTGCCTTGGGAGTCTCCAATCGGTGTTGAATTTTAGGGTTTGAGCGTTGAAACCCTAAAAACACTTGGGAATTACTTAATTGCTTGATAGCTGGATTGATTGCATTACATCCTTCACCACCTCACATTCCTGGCCCCTCTTTTCCAGTCCCAGTTCAATAATCCCCTTCTGGGTGGCATTTGGTACTGTAATGTACTGTCTTCACTTTTCTACTGTTTTTCCAGTACTTGTGCAAATAGTTTCATATTCGTTGTTGTACAAGAATGGATTTGAGAGAAGCTAAACTATGATACCTTAAAAGGTGACTTCATAATTTTATTTTTATTTTTTGTCATTAAATTTGTCTTTTAGTTTTTTGTATGTTTTGTTGAAGGTGATGTCAATATTATATGTAATATTGGCATCTTGAAAAATATGAATATAAGTGCATGTGTATATATACTTATATCTATATTAATACATACATCAAGGAATATATTTGATGTTTTTCAAGCAAGTCATGTAGTGCATTTATAAATTAAAATAAATATTTTTATTGTAGTGAGTATATAAAAAAATTATAATATATATATATATATATATATATATATACATGAATATGGATTTTTTCAATGATATTTTTAAACATGATAATCAGTTGTAAGTAAAGACATAAGAAAAAAACATGATTTTTAGAAAATATGAAGTAGATAATATTTATATATAAACTACTCTAAAAAAATGTCATAGAATATTTAATAAATTAAATAAAAATATTTACACCAAAATATAATTTTTGTTTTATTGATAAAAATAAATAATATTTTTATTCAAATTGAGATTTATTGTAATTATTGTAATGTATTCTTGTTTATAATTATTTAATAATTTATAAAATATGTATATTGGGAAGAAAAATTTACAACAATAATTTGTTTGTGGTTGGAAAAAAAAGACTTAATATGTTACAATATGTACTATTTTTATTTTTATTTAAGCCAATATTGTATCTAATTTTTAATTTTTATTAAATATTATTAATCTTATAAATTTTATTCATTTGTTTCATTAACTTCCAATCAATATCTCAATAATTCCTATAAGATTTTATAAAGTACAAAAATAAATAAAAAATATTTATAATAAAATTGTCTGATTTGTTTAAGATTAGGAGTAGTATTTTATTCATGTAAAGGATTCTAAATAGTATCACTTCATTAAATAGTCTAACTACTTATTATTTACCATCAATAATGTTTCAACTTTACTTAATAATTTAAAGATTTTTTATGATATATTGGTAGTCATGCATAAACATTTCTACTATCAAACATAAAACTATAACATATATATCTATATATATCTATATGTTAAAATGATCCAAATTTTTACTAAATCGATCCATTTGTCTACACCATTATTTCACCCTCATCCCCATTCTCTTCATTCTTGTAATTCCTAACATTCTCAAATTCCATCCTAATTCTCAATCCCTTTTGTCCAATCCCGACCTTCCTTCAATCCCAACCCTTGTTCTGTCGTCTAAGAGATGAAATCAGAGGATGGTCTTAGAGATATATGTAGCGAAAATATGACAACTAAGGATGGAGGTTATAGATATAAAGTGTGTGTAATTCAACCTTTGCCTCTAGCTGCAATCAATTGAGGGAAGTGGTATTCTACAAAGTCTCAATTGAAGTGAAGATGGTGCAAAGTAGATTGAAGCATTAAAAAAAAAACTTTTAAAGAGATTTAGCTCTACTTAAGAGATATAACCATTGCAGAGCCAAACTTTGCTTTCTCTCCATACAATTAATAAGATACAAAAGATATGGAGGAATTACAATTATATATTGTAATTACAAATTTGGAAGTTATATCATCTTTATTTATCATTCTTTTACAACACTCAAAAATAAACTAAAACATTTGTAGAAGATCTCTTTATTTAAAAATAATAAAAAAAGACTACAAACAAAGGATAATAGAACATATTCCATTGCCATGGAACAAATGAAAGAAACATATTGAAAGATTATACAAGAGTATTATCTACAAACTATTATCATGTCGAGTGCCATATCCAAACTAAGCTTTATTTGAGAGTTGAAGATAGTAAAGCAGTTGTATAAAGTTGCATGCCATTTTTCCAAAGAATCAATACATGTGGCAATTGCAAATTAGATTGCTAAACGAAATTTTTGTGTGCAATGAGTAGGAATTGAAATAGAATGATTGGCAATCTTAAAATTCATCTATTTTCTTCATACTTTGTCTTATTTCAAAGAAAGCACATTAGTTTCTCAATGACAAGTATAAATTTTGCTTTAGATGGTAGAGTTGATGTGACTTATATAATTGCATGTATCAACTTTCTTCCAATCCATTTATTCTTCTCATTCTACCTAGCTATTGTCTCCAATACCTATGAAGCTTTCTAAATCACTAAAAAGCTTGTCTTTTTTACTTTCCAAATTGAAACCTTTTATTTTAAATCAATGTCTATAAATTCACAAATTTACAACCTAGAACAAACTTTTAGAAGAGATTTCAATTGTGTCTTTGAGAGAAGACTTCACATTGTCGTATATTGTGAAGTATGCTTGAGAATGCACCAGGCACCTTGCTATGGAAGAATAAATAAAACTTGCAATAAGAAATTCCTAACAATTCTAATAGAATCCTTAAAAAAACTCTAATTAAATCTTTAAAATGTTAGTCCATCTTTAATCAAATCCAAAAAAAGTCTTATAGAAATTATAAAAGAAACATAAAGAAATCATAGATTAATCTTTATATATATATATATATATATATATATATATATATATATATATAAAGAAATCCTAATAAATATCGAAGTAAATTTAAAGAAATATTAAAAATAGAGAACTTAAATTAATCTTGATAAAATTCTAAAATAAATCTAAATAAATCCTAATAAAATCCTAAATTAATTCCAATAAAATTTTAATCAAATCCTAAAGTTATTATAAACCAATCCTAGTCAAATTCTAATATAATCCTAAATTAATCCTAATCAAATCTTAATTAAGTCCTAAAGAGATCCTAAACAAATTTTAAACAAATCTAAAAAAACTCAAAGTAAATCCTAACCAATTTCTATAGTTGTTTTAAAATCTCAACAAATATTAATCGAATCCATTGATCTCAATTCAAATTTCATTCACATTTCCATCTACATGTAATTAATAAGCATGGAAATTTGAGAAAAATTGAATTTACCAATTAAAAGAAAAAAGGTCCTAAACCTCTTAGATATTGAATACCTTCCTTTTTCAACCCAAATGTTAATTTTCTAGGAGCAATTCCTCCTTGTTGAATTATTTAATTACTTAAAAATTAATTGGTATTTAGATTTTTAAGTCTAGATTGCTTCTACTAATTTTTGCTTTAATTAAATAAATAGAATTTTTAGGATTGTAAAAACTCTCACTAATCCTAAATTTTAAAAATCCAAGACTCAAATCCAATGAAAATCTCATATCCTTCAATCTAATTATTTGATTAATATCAAATTTTTCAAAAATATTGAAGACAAGCATAAAGACAAATATACAAAATTTCACTTGTAAATATGCTACGACTTTAATACAATACTGAAAATTGTAAACTTCTTTTTATTTTTCAAAATCCAAAACCATTGAGTACATCTCTCACTTTGAAAAGCCTTCATAAACTCATTATAATTCAAAATCACATGAAACCAACTCTTAAGAAACCTTTCACTTTTTTTTCTTTGAAATTCCATTCTTTAATCAACCAAAGAACCTTAGAATTGCCATAGGTACCTAGTTTTGTGCCTTAGAGTTTGATTTTAATCATGATTTACAACTAATCCTCTCTAAATATTAATTCTTGGTATTGTGGGATAATTTTTGCTCAAACATATTTTTAACTTCTTCTTAAAGATGTCTATATAATTTATTTTTTTAATCTATTTTTTAATCTTATTTATAGCTTTAAAAAGTAACTAATTTTTTTTTTATATAAAAAGGTAATATTAATTTTTATTAATTTTTACTACTTCTTTATCTATTATTTATATTTCTAAGATAATTTTCTAAAATATTTTTATTTTAACTCTTCTATATGATAATCTTTTCTTTTTTCATTTATCTAATGGTTGTATCACAACATAACATTGCTATGGAAGAAATCACTTAAAAATTGCAAAGTATTGTGAAGTTATATTCAAAATTATGAAGAAAAGAAATGATAAGAAAAGAAAGATGACAATCTTATAGGCTGTCTTAACAAGCTGAAATTAGGTGGAGCAATGATTGCTATCATACACATTGGGATGCAAGTCTAGTACAAGTTGTTAGTATTTATTTATTTATTTTACTTTCAAGAATGAAGGATAATTCATTGCAGCTAGAGACAAAGGTTGAATTACACATTTTTTGCATCCACAACCTCCACTCCTAGCCACTTCTTTTTGCTATTTAGACCTTTAAGACTATCATTTGATTTTATCTTCTAGACGATGGAAGGGGGATTGAGACCAAAGATGGGATGAGAGAGACAAAAAGAACTGAGCACAAGGGATTGAGAATGAAAATGGGATCTAAGAACATCAAGAATTATAAGAACAAAAGAAACAAGGAAAAAGGTGCAATGATGGTGTAGATAGATGGATCGATTTAGTAAAAATTTGGATTTCTTTAATATATATATATATATATATATATATATATATATATATATAAATTAAAAAATTAAAATTAAAATTTATAATAATTTAATTTAAAGAAGACTAAATATATAGCTTATATATATATATATATATATATATATATTTACATATTAATAATCCCAAAGTTTAACATATTTATTAATCATTACTTGGATATTATTAAAAATAATAATAGATAGAAAAAAATTATATATTTTTATTTTTTTGTTATAAAATAATCTAATAATTTAGTGATATATATATATATATATATATATATATATATAAAGAGAGAGAGAGAGAGAGAGAGAGAGAGAGAGAGAGAGAGAGAGAAAAACAAAAAGAA